CTGCAGCCCTGCTGCCCCCACCTGCCAGTACCAGTTCCTGGAGCACACCCCATTACTGTCAGACTTTATACGTATTCATATCCATTTATGAACATATATATAAGTGCAAGTTTTATACTTTGCATCTGGACAATACTACAACCAAGACCTGCAGTTCTGTGCCTTTTCATACTGTAAAGCAAAACCTAAGCAATTGTCAGCTTTTAATTACACATGGTTAAGTTTCATATTTTTAAAGAACTGAAGAATACAGTTTGGAAGTAAGTTTGATCAAGGTCATCACTGCATGTGGTACAGGCAAACCTGGTTAAGTGGTACTCATCGACAGTGTTGTGTGGAGATGGAATGTCTAATGGGCAGATTTCTTCAAATGAAAAATCCAGACAATTGAGAGGTATGCAGAAAACTTGTCTTAAATACTTGAAGCTACATGTGCAATCTTACAGAACACAAGCTACAGTTACAGACATAACAGTAAATCTTATTAACCAATAGTGCATAAGAACTTAAAAACAGTCAGTGAAATCAGTTCAGCCCGTGACTTCCAAAAAGGTCGTGCCTCAACTGCATTGTGAGGGGATAAAAAGAAAAAAAAAAAAAGGGGGGGGTGGAGAACTCATTCTTATGCAAGTTTAACACGAAGTTTTAATCTACATTTTAAAAGCTGTTTTATTATATATTTATATATATATGCTATGTATAAAATAAATTAAAAAGGGGGAGGAGGAAATAGCTTTGTATATGCTTCAAATTAACACAGACCAGTAGTTCCATAAATGAACATTTTACCATCTTTGTGGTAAAAAGTTGACATAAAAGTTCAAAACCATACAATACTTATAAATAGAAAGAGTTCAAAAGATACTTCTTTAAAAAATGGAATTTAAACATCATTTTCTCTTCCCCTACAATACACTTTAGTTTTGTATGCCAGCATCGATGCATTTACAGAATATCTGAATGTCACATCCACAGAATCGGTAACAAAGCAGGTAAAAGAGCTAGTGGTGTTCAAATTTAGGACTTTTCTCCCAAATAACTTTACCTACTCCTCAGCCTTCTCCTGAAGTGAAGGCTATCAACATTCATCACCCAGTCTGAGGTATGGGCAGAAGAAAATCTGCAACCGGTACTCTCCAACCCACCCTGCCTCTGCTAAAATAGAGCAACAATCTATTGATTTGGTAATTGGCAATGGTGGTGGACAATCTCTTACCTCCATTCAGCTTGTATATAATTTAATCCTGGTATTAAAAAAATAAAATTGAAACATAGTATTAATGCTTAACTTAAAAAACAAAACAAAAAAAAMCCCACCAACAAAGAAAAACCCCAACAAAACCCCCCAACTTTAAATCTTTGAAACTATCTTTAAATGTTGTTCCTGGTTTAAAGCTTCACATAAAACATTGGACAGAAGGATGACAATTTTAAACCAAGAGAGCACCTAAAACATACCATAGGTAAAAATGAAATCAATCATCTCTCCACTTCATAAAAACGTAGAAACCCTGTCAGCAACAGTAGTACACTCAGAACGAACAACGTCAAAAGGAGCATCTAGAATACTCAAGAGGCTTGCTACGCTACTTCTCTTTATTGCCCATTCTCTCATTTGTATGGATGGCCACTGCATGACAAGATGCCTGTGGATATTCTCTTCTCTTCACCACTGCTGCCAGCTGAAGTCATCATTGCTGCCAAAGACCAAGAAAAATCCTAGGATCGTGGCAAAGATGACTGTATTCCCAGTAAGAACGAGTGCACATGCACCCCAGTAAATCTGTGAACAGGGGGAGTTTGGTTAGACACATTTTGAGCTGAACACTGAGACAAATGGTAACATCTTATTGTCCAGTTCTSGACAAAGTTCAGTAACATGCCCATGATGCAAGAGGTGGTATCTCATTATTTGTGGTTACACCAAGCAGGCTGGGTTTACCCAAAAATTTCTTGACCAATTTACACCAAGCCAAGCAGCACTGCAAGGTTTTTCTAGCTGTACTCAAAGCKTTGGCTAGCAGGCACAACTGGTTTGATATGTAAAGTGAGACTAGACAACAACATCAAACACATATGCAGGCCARCTATGCTGTTAGACTTTCTTAAACAAATATTTAAGGTCTTTAAAACTCCACCAGATAGCCAAGCAACAAAAAAGGAGGTGAATGTTTTCACAGGTGAGTAAGTGGATTACTCAAAGGGTGTGTGGCATTCAAACTGCCCATCTGAGCTGTTCTTGCCTAAAGACATCTATGAAAGTACATTCCATCTTTTTTGACTTGGTAGYACCTTCTGACATTCACATGAACAAAGTGAGCTTTTGAATTGTTTTAGTGAAAAGMTGTATACTGGGAAATATGTAACAAGAACTTGGAATTTTCAAAAAATGATACCAATATTATTTACAGTGAGTACAAAAATGCTTTTTTTTTGTTTTGTTTATTCATGCTGCTTTAGCCCAACTATTCCACAAATTGTCTTCAAAGTATTCTTTACCCTTCTATATTTGGTTATTTCCCTGTCAAGTTTTCATGTAATTTTCTGTCTCATTTTCTCTGCATTGAACTCTTAGGCTTTATTCCAAAACCATGTGAAGCAACTGGYAATCACAATGTTCTGCCATGCTCCCATTTCTGTATTAATTTTTCTTGCCAAAAGAACTCTTAGTCTGGCTCCAAAAGAGCCAGTACATAATTATAGGGGTTATTTAGTGCATGAGAGTTTTACCTTCGATTAAGAAAAAACAACAAACACAAAGTTTTCTAGGAAAAAACAAAGCAATCACAGGTTGAAATATTACTAACCAGTTCTGCTCTTGCAAACACTATGGGTAGCCCAAATGCTGAGACCACGATGCCTGTTGTAAGGAATATTGCCAGCTCCTTGCAGGCATTACTTGTAGCATCTGTGTCATCTACCAATCTTCTTGCTATGCAGTATGGGATGGGAGAAAGGATGTAAAAAAACAGAACAAACAGTGGCCAGTACTGGCTGAAAAAGAAAGGAGAAGAAAAGTTTTAGTTAACTTTATTTACCTCCTGCTCCTCCTAAAATCAATGTAAGGCATTTTCCCCRTCCAGCATCCCCATTTAGGAAACACTGACAAGCCTGGAGAAGGCAAATCCTTTGCCTTGGAATGAGCTGACATTAATCCAACAGACCACGTTGGTTAATGGCTTCGGCTGACCTCAACRGTAACAGAGCACACTAACAGGATATTCATAAAGCAAGCTTCCACTAAGCAAGCCTAAATCTAATGMCACCTCACAAGATGAGCTTAACTCCAAGTTTATCCTGTCAGCTGTATTTAAGAATTGCAGATATACCTTTGCAGGGCCCTCACATCATTTTGTCCATAAGATTTCAATGCAYGCATGGAGCAGAGTACTGTTCTCTGCAAATACTCAGCCACTGTGGTAAACCAACACTTTTTTTTTTTCGTATCTTTTTTAAATCTGAGTGCAACTGGCAGAAACCTACAAGAATACACCACCATATTTGGCAACACTGGTTTATTGCTTGCAGCACCCCAGACTAGATTTCTCAGGCACACACAGGTGCTTTGAATTTGAAAAACTCAGGTGCATTGTTTGAATAAAACTTTACTGCATTGTATGAAGGGCAACTGCATAAGGACCTCCTTCCCAAGGGTTTGTGTCAGTAGCACTGATTTTATAACAGAAGAAAGCCAGCATAAGAGTTCCAGTCATACATGCAGAGAACTGCAATTCACAACCAGTGACAGCATATTTGGTACTTATTCAACAMTGAATAAGTCTCTGTTTTCTGTAAAGTCAGCATTCACTTTCAAAGAGTCAAAGCCTTACTATCGGAACACTTGGTCCACTACTTAGTATTTCCTGCACACTAAGAGATAGGAATCGAAGTGGGGAAAGTACAGATAGCAGCTGCAATTACTCGAGGTGCTACACTACAGAGCGGGACAGAGCTAAGGGTCCACCTGATAGTCACCGAGAGCCCAGTTACCGCCAGGCAGCCAAAGAAAATGCRGATGCGTCCCTGTATAATACACACTTGCTGCCCACCTCACCAGATGCTGCTGTCTGCTTGTCAGCCATAGCAAGACACCAGTCGAGACAGTCACGGCAATGCATCCTTTAAGTTTGAAGCTAGGCTTGGCAGTTGAATTTTTGTTGCCATCGCTTTTTAGAATGAAATCCTCGATGGCCCTTTTCTTTCCCCACCCCAATCTTTTGAAGCAAAAGCCAAAAAAACCCCAACCAACAAAAAAAAACCCAAATCAAAACCCCACCCCAAAACCCTAAGGCCCCTCCTACCCAAAGAGGACTTATCAATCCACCATTATGGAAGCCGAACTGCTCTGAACTTATAGATACACCCAAAATAGAAATGAAAAATAGAAAGAGAGTGCACGATACTTGTATTGGGGAAGGGCACATCCGAGCATCAAGAACATCAATCCGACCGCTCCCCCAAAGGACAGGCTGATCAGGGCTACAACGAGAACAAATCGAACCARTATGAAGGGTACAACGCACGGTGCAAAACGCCGACCGCAGCCCGCAAACAAACGCGGGGCTCAGCGCAGTCCCGGCCGCCCGGCGGAGCGGGGGCACTCGGACTCCCGCGGCGGCTCCCGGCCCCTCCCGCCCCAGGCCCGGCCCCTCCTGGCGGGGGCCGTGCGCGCCCACGGTTACCGGGCTGCCGCCCCGCCCGCTCCACCCGAGCGCACCTTTGATTCCCGCCATGGCGCCGCCCGTCCCGCCAGCCGCGCCGCACCGGAGAGGCGCGCGCCGGGAACCGGAAGTGCCGGGCGGAAGTGGAAGCGACTTCCGGGAGGGGCCGGGCCATGCCCCGCCCCGCCCGCTCCGGCCGCGTGACGCTCAGTCGTGGCGCGCGCGCAGGGCCCCTCGCGGCAGCCCCGCCCCCCCGGGCGGAGCGCGAGGAGCGCCGCGCCCGCGTCTCCCATTGGCCTAAGGCCCTTTGGGGGCGGGGCTTGTCCCCGGGCCCCGCCCCTTCCGCCGCGAGCGGCCGCCCCCGGGGTGAACGGTGATGGGTGACGGCGCTGCTATGGCGGCTTCTACCTTGTGTGTACTTCTCCTGCTCTGCGCCGCCGCGCGACCCGCTCTGGGCTGGGACCGACCAGGTGAGACCGCGGGGATAAGGGGGTTCCTTGCGGCCCGCTGCCCCTCCCGGCGCGTTGGCGGCTCCTTGCGGCCCGGCACTGCGCAGTGCTGCCGGTTTAGCGGCGGCCGGCACGGGGCAAGAAGGGGTTGTTCCTGGTTCAGYGGCAGGAAGACGTTTGGGGTTGGGCTCCCTCTATATTGGCTTGTGTCGCAGCACTGATCCCGCACTGCGGTCAGTGGTCGTTGTCYGTTGGCGAGGAATAGCCCAGAGTCGCCTCGGAAGGAAATGGGGAACTGCCGTGTTCCTCTCKGCGCGTCTGATGCTTTCTAGAGCTCCGTGTGCTAAAGGTGCAGGTTACATTTCGGCCTCCCTATAGCCAGGCTTTTCCTGAGAGGAGGCCCTTGTGGCCAAGAGGAGTGCACCTGCACAAGCGCTGACAGGCAGTAGGAAGAATTTTTTCACACGAAGGATGATTAAACATTGAAATAGGCTGTTCAGGAAGGTGATGGAGTCACCGTCCGTAGAGGTGTTTTAGGGAAGACTGGACGTGGCACTCAGTGCCGTGGTCTCGTTGGTATGGTGGGGTTCAGTCATCGCGGTTGGACTCGGTGATCACAAAGGGCTTTTCCAGCCTAATGGATTCTGTGATTCCTTTTGCTGCCTGTTTCAGGGAAGGTTCTGCTGCGGGATGTTCAGGCGCTCACTCTCCACAGAGGGCAATACACCACATCCAGGCGAACAGCTGCGGTCCCTCAGCTGCAGTGCACAGGAGGCTCTGCCGGGTGTTCCCGTGTCCCTGAGGTTGTTCAGTGTTACAACAAAGGATGGGATGGCTATGATGTACAGGTAACTGYTTTAAACTTGTTAAACTGTTGATGAAATCATCTTYCCCCAAGATCATAAGTTCTGAAGGAGCAAAGAGAATTGAGCTATGTTGTCAGTTCAGGTGCTTTTTGTTAGATAATGTCTGACAACTAAAACTTAACCTAAATACTTTTAGGTTTGGATTTTCCAGAACTATTACAGGTATTTGTTTGAAATATAACAAGCCATGACAGTTGGTTTTAAATAAAATGGCCCTCGAGTTTATAAAATAAAACACTTGCAAACTCCAGAGGATACTCTTGAATTGTTATTGCTGTGTGGATTTSCATTTTTTATTAGTATGAATAGGGCTACTAAATGTTTCTTTCACTTCAGCTGTACCRTTTAAAAACTAAATTTCAGACTAGCCTGACTTTCTCTTGCACTCTAGGATGTGAGTATTAGTCAATAAGTAGTCACGACCCTGTTTTGTTAGCTATTACMAAGGCTCCTGTCCATGGATAACCAGGAATTAAGGCTGAAAGTAATTGTTAAAACTGATACAGTATTGTGAAAGRACAATCAAATATGAATTGACAGTTGGTGTTGCTGCCCTGAATTATTAATTTAGAGACTACTACTTTTTTATTTCCTCTCCAAAATACATATCACATGCTGTTAGAAATCTCCATGTTTGGGTACCTCAAGGAAATGTGAGGCCGCAAATCCGTGTATATTCAACCAGAGAATCCACAATAAAATTGTTAAGTGTTGTGTATGGATGCCTGGTGATGTCTGTTTCAGATTCTTTTGATTTCTGCACAGACACAAATAGAATAGGGTGCACTAGATTTCAGGCTCACATGTTGTGTTTTTGTAGCTGCTATTGGRTTTGCACAGGACAGGCATTTATTAAGTAGTTGCTACATAGAATATAGCACATTTTTATAAGTATTGCTTTATCTGAAGAAGGGATATTKGAAAAACCTGTTCAGTCAAGAAAAACCAAATTTTCCAGAGTTTCAACTCTTCAGTGTTCTAAAAGATAAGGGTTTTTTTTAAGTTTCAAGATTTAAAATTAAGCATCAAATTCCTACTCCATTTCAAAATAGGAGCGCATGGAAATCTCTTACCTTATGCACCTTAGATGATTTGTTAACAATTACAGCTTTATTTCAGGGTATGTTTGGGGAAGCTGACAGGTGTTTTCATCTTTGGGGCAGTATGGTTTACTTTGTATTGTGCTTGTTTTTTAGTGGCAGTGCAAAGCAGACTTGGAAAATGCCTACCGTTTTGGAAAAATAGAAGTGAGCTGTGAAGGCTACGATTACCCAGATGACCCTTACATCCTAAGAGGCTCCTGTAGTTTGCTGTTCAGGCTGGAGCTKACTGAGGAAGGTGAAAGAAGAGTGAAAAACTCCGGAAGCTTTGGCTCTAGCTATTACCAGTCAAGGAAAGATTATTCTGATTCTGGTTCTGGAGCAATTGTTGTAATTGTTCTTGTCATTCTTGCTTTTGGAGCATACAAGTTCTTTCTCGGCAACCAGCAGTCTCAGCAAAGTTCTGGGGACAGTGGTGGATTCTCTCRGCCCTTCTGGCAGAGCCAGCAGGCACCTCCTCCTCCTGGCTTCAAGTCCACCTTCACAGGTAGGCCTCTGAGACATTTACAGTATTCAAAAAAGCAAGCAGAATTGTCCTGTTCAGTCTTCGGTAAGGGGAGGTGGGATAGGGTTAAAACAACAGCATTTGCAGCTGACTGCTGAATTGGCTGCAGAGCAGCTTTGCATTYTGTTCTTTGTTCAAAAAAGGAAATAAGGGCTTGGTTTTCAGGCTTTCAGGGCAGGCTGCCCTTTGAACCTTTGGAAAGCCATCTCCCCATGCTCTGCAAGCRTTCTTTTCATCACCTGCAAAATAGCAGGATTGTGACAGGGAGAATAATTGTCATAGGTAATCTGGAAGAGAGGATGGTCTTACACAGCCAGAAACAAGCCCATGCCAAAGGAGCACTTTGAAACGTTACAGAATGGTCTTTCAGCCCTGATGTCATTCAAAAAGCAGTTGATGGAGTTGAGTATCATGTACCAGTCCTTTGCTTAACAGGTGCTTCAGTGTAGTCCTAGCTGCTGAAAGATTCAGTTCCCAGAGCAGAGAACACTGTCTTTGGACTGTCATTAGCCGTACAGCATCTGAATCCCATGTGGGGCCTTTCATCTGAAATTGAAAATTATAAAAGCAGTGACAAGGCTGCTGCTAGGAAAAGAGGCAGTTTTTCTTTTCCCAGGAAACTTATGTCACTTAATAAATGGTCGTCAGTAGGCAGTCAGAGTGTCTAAGGAAAATAAACATTACTCATCTGGTGTTTGACCCGCTCATTTAACCACCTGAATATGCAAAAACTGCTCACAGCACTGGAATGAACTTAAATTACAGTTTCCCAAGTTACATAATGTCTTTTTCCTTTTTTTGTTTTCTTTTTTTGAAAAATAGAGAAGGGATTTTTTCAAGAAAATCTACAGCAGGGATTAAGTTCACTTAATCAAAAGTGTATTTTTTAATAATACTTATTAATACTTTCTCCAAGTTTTGCTCAAGCAGCTTGGCCAACAGAGGGTGCAGTGTAATTCTTTGGGATACCCTTGGGCAGGGCGTGCACAGCAGAAACTTTCAGCTGTACCTGCACAAGAAAATTAAAGGGAATCTGCTTCTGTATTACTGTTGGCTTTGCAGATTGGTTTGCATGTAGCTATTTCAGACAGTCTGTGGTGGGTGAGCCTCAGTGGCCACGTGTGGGAATGGCACTGGCTKTATTGTGGTGGTCAACAGGAGCTCTGTCACACTGGGCACAGGTGAAACTGAAGAGTTACTTCAATCTTTTTCTGTCCAGGTCCCTGTCAGTTAAATGCCCTAATGCATTTTTCATTGCAGGACTCTGAAATCTAGGAATGGTAGGGCCTTGAGAATGTTTTCCTGATGATTGCTGAAAATTGACATGCTTAAAATACACATTGGGGGCCATATAATGCTTAACTCGTGACATTTTTAGTTAGGCATCTCAATGATTTCTCATTAGATTTCAGACCAAGTAAGAAGGAAAACTTCTAAAAYGTGGAGCCAGATTAAAAATACGAAATGTTAATATTTCATGCATTTAGTGTCTGCCTTACATTGTGGTAGCAGAGCAGAAGCACATCTGAATGTGTATTAGTCTTTGGAAATCTGGACAGTAATAAAAGGCAATGTTGTTCACATATTGCTGTTAATATTTAATTTGCCTCATTTTAAATCCCTGTAGCATGCAGAATGTGTCCTGTGGAACTTGTTTAGCTAGACTATCTYAATTAAATTCTGCTTTCTCTCTGTTAGTGGTTTGACATGATTCTTAATGTTTACTCTAGACATTTCTACAAAAAATTACTCAATTTCCTGAGTCAGTGTTCAGTCATGGTGCTTTTGAACAAATGAGTTGGTTCATCTCTGATTAACACTGGTTTTGTGGCAAATTAAGTATTTTTTGTTGTTGTTGTTCCAAAGCAGTATAATTTAATGGTTTGTCATCCTAATGGGAGTTTATCTTTCTCCCCACACATTCAGAAAGAAATTCAATGTCAAATCCAGGGTAGACTGAAACTGATTATTTCATTACTGTTTTGTCTTCTATGACTTTAAACAACCCATACCAGTTTGAAGATAAACCAGGCCCTCTGTACTTTTTACCTATGTCGTCTCTGGCCCGCTTGTTCAAGTGGGCATTTTTCAGGGAGACTCTAATGTTACCTTTAGTCATTTTTATACTTCCTTATGTGCTAAACCTGTGGTTGAGCTTATTCTTGCATCCATGATTTTTGCTAGACCAGGAAATCATTCTACTTTGTATTTTCTCTTTTTATTTCTAACTGGGAGACATTCATTCTGACTCAGAACCTCATGTTACACAGGTCACATGTAAAAAAAAATTGTGACTCTCCTTCCCCACAATGTACTTGATATGCTTGCAGTTTTGTCAAGGTATTTGTCAAGCTTGGCGACTCATACATAATAAAAACCTTGCAATGTGATTGCAGTTAGCTTGTCTTTCGATAACAAGTGCCAGACTAGGATTACCAGGAACAATACCAGTAATGTTAGTGCCACACTGAGCCTCAGTGACTCAAATTGTGCAGCTGTGCTCAGTGAGATTAGGAGCTGTGTGTCTTTGTGGTTTGCTCACTGCACGGTGTTACCTATTTGATTTGTGTTCCTGAATCTGCTTCTGGCCTGCTCTGTGACCTTCAGCAGATTATTCTTTCTTGATTTCCTTTTCTATTTTTAATCTAACTTGTCTCYTTATAGTAATCAGCAGGCAGGGACTCTTTCTATGTTTTACAAATGTCAGGGCTGTGAGATGAAGTGGAAGCAGATTTTTAGCATAAAACTCTTTACTGTAGTGTTCATTTATGTGGGGTGTTCCTGCTTTCTGAAATGTGAGGCCTCTCAAGTTAAGCTTGGTCAAGAATCTACTGAAATCAGGAACAGTTTGTTGTTTAATTTTCCATTATCTTTAACAGGAGAGAGAATCTGGTTGCAACAGCTGGCCTGAGGATTAGGCTGCTACTAACTGATGCTTCCTATTTTCATTTTGTTTAAGATGACAACAGCTTTGGAACTCATTCCCAGCATGGAACCAGTGCAAGAGCCGGATTTTGGACTGGATTAGGAACAGGAGGCTTGCTAGGCTACTTGGCAGGCAGTTACAGGTAAAATATTCATCCTAATAGATTTTAAGTATTTAAACTTTCAGGGGCGGTGTCATATACTATATTAACATTGTTTCTAAGTTTTGAGGCCTGTGTCATTCAAGCTATAAAGTCTTACTACTAGAAGATTTTTTTAGCACCTGTCTCCAGGACATTTCAAACGTGTTTCTGAGGAAGAATTGGAAAGACTGAGGTGCTTCATTCTGCTTCCTCTGACCTGGCATGGTGGTCTGCAAATTTRAATTGTTTAATTTATCTGCAGAATGCCTTAGAACACGATAGTCATATTAAGCATATAACAATCTGTAGATGGGTCTCTTGTATCAGTGTAATCTTCCCTGAAGTTAATCTGGATGGCCATATTTGCTCAAGACTTTTAGACATTTGAAGTGCATAATTTTTAGATTCAGTGTAAAGAGAGCAATTGCTGCCAATTTAGGCTTTGCATGAGAAAATATGTGATTCCTGCAGGAATCTTCAGAGCCTAAGCAGTTTTCACTATTTATCAAATTACTTGCATGTGTATCGAGTCTATTCCCGTAGTAATGTAACAGATTAGATAGTAAGATAATATAGACAGRAGTGTGCTAAGTATCTTCATTATAAAGTTGTGAGCTGTTTTTAATAATAGAAGCCTTATATTAACTCTGCTGAGAATTTTTCAAAGATACAATGTGTTAAAGTTTTTATTGACCTGGTAATTCTTAAGTCTTAAATATATGACTCTTGTATTGAGRCATTATGTAGTATCTACATACAGGTTAGTTCCTTGATTTCTGTACAGACCCCCATTTCAGTAGCCACATGTTATTGTTCAGGATTAAAGATCTAATTGAGTAAATCCAAATACATGAGCACGCTTCCTAACTTGGGCTTCTTTTTGTTTAAAACAGTCTTTGGTCCACTATTATTTAAGTTGTTTTTTTAGGCTTTTGAAATTATGTGCCTCAAAATGCTGGTGCCAGGAAGCATGAGAGAGCTATTTGTAAATTTCAACAGCAGGAAATTCCATATCCATGGAAGCAAGCAATTTTAAGTCAGTGAGTCAAAGATCAYGATATGTTAGTGTTACTGATACAACCTTTTCAAAATAGTTAGCAGAAGGATGCTTTCTCKTGCTAAACATGGCTGGGATGCAGGTGATGCCAAAATGTATTTCAACTTCAGATTTCAAACTTCTTTCTTATCTGATAGAATCTAAAGTCAAAATTTCAGAAGGAAAAAAAAATTCTCATTTGCAATTGTTAGAATTACTTATTCTGAAGAATGAAGCTTAATTTCCTTTTGAAAGTTCATGGATTATGATATCACAGCACTGGATATCCTTACTGTCAGCATGTTAAATACACTAAATAGGAATGTTTCCAGCTTTTAAATAACTGCTTATGGTTTTCCCTTGGAGGTACAGTTCTTGTTTGGAATGGTATCTTCATTTTTCCTAAAGTTACTAATGAAACCTTCCTTCTACTCTGTTTCATGCCAGAGGGCAGCCACATTCCCCATATCACAGTATGTGGACAGATCCTACAGCTGCACCTCCTATGAATAGGCACTCAAGGAATTTCACAGGAGGCAGCAGTTCAGGAACAAGAACTGCATCTGGTAAGGCAAAGCACCTTCTAATTTCCTGAAGCTCAAGAAACTTTGACTTACCRAAAACATGCAGATGTTAGTTGAGATTCAATGGGTATCCTTGTTTTATTTTACCAGTTGGTGTAGATGGGCATGTAACGATGTCCCTTACTTCCATTCCCTRTGGAAGCAGAGGTACACTGTGGGACATGAAATTCCTCACAGGCCTAAGGTGRGCATGGCACCACCAGCATTGGGCTTGTCTTCACTGGCAAAGTGCATTAGTTTAAGGCTTTCACTTCTGATATGCACTGTGCATGCCCTTCTCTAGCAAACATGCACGAACATGTTCTCTGGAGGATGCAGATTGTCTAATCTGTAAGAACAGAATAGTTTCCAAGCCAGTCAGCCCACAGTTGCTTGCTGCTCTAGTTCATGTGAATATGTTTACCTCATCTCCCTTGGCACCTTTAGCATTTTTAGAGCTAGGATTCAGTGGAAAGGCTTTGGTGAAGCTGACTTTTTTTTTTTATTTTTTTTTTCAGGCTTTGGGGGCACAAAACGAAGATGAAATCCTTGGCATTATTACATCGGAGTGATTGAACTAAATCTTGTTGTTTACTTCTTTTAGTGATAGTATACTTCAGAAGTAGATATGAGGTATGAAGGACTAGGCAAAGAATTCCTCATTTTCTCTGTGGACTCTCACAGGTGTTTGGGGTATCACAGATGCTGGAACATCCACTCTTTCAAATCAGCAGCTTCTCATACAGGAGAAGCTCATCCAAGTTAAGAAAAACGTTGTTACAGTGACCGTGTATCTGTCTGTTCTTGAGGGATTATGGCAATGATAGCCTTACCAGATTTTCGAAGCATGTAGCTTACTACTCMTGTTCTGGGCTTAATTTTATTTGATCCAGAATTTCTGGTATTTTTTTCCTCTTTCCTGGTAGTCCAGCATCTACGTGATACATAAGAAGCGATGTTCTTTGAAGCTACTTTTGTTTGTCTTGCAGAACAAAAGTAACTTTACTGTGAACTTTACTGTAAGTGCARTCAGCTGCTCAGATAAGTGTTGGAGTTCTTCGTCAGTGGACAAGAGAAAACTGTATATAAGGAGACTAACATTAATATGTTTGTATCTGTGCTGTGTGACTGTTGGGAGCTAAAATATACAGATTCATGGATTCTCCATGTTTTAGAGCTTATCCAAGGTGACTGTGCAAACCTGGGCAATTTTGTGTATAACTTATGTGGTAAATTAATAAGTAACCTGGAAATTTGGACCTTTTTCTGGAAGACTGAGGTAAGTTAAATTTAGATGACTACACACATTTTGCCTGCATTGAGGCCACAGACTTTCCTTTTAATGATGGATGTTGACAATGCTATGAAAACTTGTGATGTGAATGGTCTGTCCTGCTAGATGACCTGTCCAGGGCACAGTAAACCAAAGGTGCTCATTGCAGAAGGGAAGGGAATGTTCTTAATGCAAAGGTGGTAGAATCTCTAGGACACAGCAGGCCTTGATGGTAAGCAAAGAAAGGAAGTTGAGTATCTAACGGGATGTAAACTTTCCCAAATGTGCTTTTTAAAAATGAAGTGCTGTCAAAGAGTGAGAAGCAAAAAGGCCTTGCTTTGTTCTGTGATGATATTTTGGGGTCTCTGTGCAGTGTCATACAGTTTTTGGATGACTTACTGTCTCCTGGGAGAGGCATTGCTGAATAAAAAGCAGAGAAATTTGTCAGGGTTGTGGGGAGAGGGCAAGAGTGAAAAATGGGTTGCTTGATCACCAGCTCTTCTCCAGAGCCCATCCTAACAGAGTGTAGAAGTGTGTGTGTGTGTCTGTGCACAGCTTGTGTATGCTGGCAGCAGCCAGAGAAGCGTTATCTTTCAGCCTTGTGGAAATACTGTGTCTGGGAATTSATATCAACTATTGCAGCAAAAGCAAAGCACTGTTCAGCTGATACACTTTGTATCTTCACAAGGATATTCAGTACCTCTGGTTAGGAAAGTGACTTCTGCATGACTCACTGAAAAGCAACTATGTCCATTCAGGAGTACGGAAGGAATTAGCTCGTATGGTAACACCCAAGTTCTCTGTATGGCTTAAGCAACCAAAAGAGAGAAAACCAAAAAAGAGAAGAAAAAAAGCCAGTAACAATGACAAAAAAAATACAAGCGAACCAAACCAGCAAAACTCAGAAATCTTTTTGAAATTGACAGAAAAAGTGCTTAATAAAAAAGTGCTTGTRCTAAAAAGTGTTATTTTGAAAGTATCAAATGAAATTGATAACTTGAGGGTAAAATGGTATTTTGCTTCTCAGAGCTGCCTAAGGCTTGGAGGAAAACAACTGTATTAACAGCCTGCACTATGAACCTAAAAAGGGAAATGGCAAAGCCCTTACTGATAGCCTACTAGAAAGCTCTACATTTTTTGAGAAGTCTATGGTAAATCTCATATCTTTACAACAAAGTGTAGCAAAATAATATATTTTAAATACGGAGTTTTTACTTCTAAGTATATTCAGGCTAAACTTGTCACAGTCAATATTTGCTTTACCAACTAATTGCATAACGATGAAACTAGATTTTTTTCTAATTGGGTAATTTGAAGACAAAGTTTGCTCTCACATTACAATGTTCGATGAAACGTTTTGGACGATGTTTTAATTTGTATTTATATATTTGTAGTTTTTGCCTGAAATGTGATTTAATACATAAATCTGATGAATTGCCATAGTTTCTGGATCTGTAGGATGTTTTTGCTCTTCCTTTTCATAAAGGCGTGAAATAAGTGAATAAGGAGTACTTTTGTCTTTAAATCACTATCTTGAGGACTGCAGGSATGGCATTGTCTTTTCTCAGAGTTGTCTGTCTCATCATCTACTTCCTGGGTTGTGTAATACCATCCTTTACCCYCAGATGCAGAATGGTTAAGCTGTGTGTTGTTTCAATGAAATAAAACAAAACAAAACAATACTGGAAATAGAGTTACTGTATTGATTACATTTTCAATTACAAAATACTRAACCCTATATGGAATTGAATGCTTTCTTGTAAACCAAGATTTGGATCTGAGTCTGCAGAAAAGCTCTATTATGTCAGCAAGTTCCTGGTTTTGCAAGGTGTTGAGCTGAACCTTTCGAAAGAATTTATGATCACTGCTGCTGTTCCTGGTTGTGCACAGAGCAGAGCCCTACACAGGGGCAGCCCAAGCTGACATGTTGGCTTCTTACATGGAAGACATATCACTGATAAACAGGGATGTGGTCTACACAGAGTTCAGCATCTTTGCTGTCAGTGTTTCTTTGATTAAATGTTGCTGATGCTTCTGACTGAGAAGAGCTTGTGAAAGGCAGCTTAGAGCTCATACTTGWGAGAGACCTTGAGCTTCCTTCCTGAACATCAGATCTGGTAGGTCCCGGTCTCGCTTCTGCTCCTGGGCAGGGTATTGGTGGYATCTTCACAGCAACTTCATAGTTGCAAGGCATATGTAAATGCTGAAACTTTTAAATGCTGCTGAAGAGAGTTGCAATTCTACTTGGCACCTGGGACCAGAACTGCACGTACTCTGACAAAGCTTGCATCTTCACACAAAGCTAAAACTCATTACAGAAACGAAACTCCTGGTTTTACAGCTGACTTCCCCTGAAGCATGTGATGAAAGGAAAAAAAAGATGCACAGAGATAAGCTTTCTCTGTGCTGCTCTGTCTTGTGACTCAGCTGCCAGGTCAGATCTTGGCTAGTTGTGCAGACTGTCATGCTGTGCACCTTGCTTTTTTCCCTGGGTGCCATGTGTGTGTTTGCCTTAGCACCAAGGCAAGACAGTAGGTGGTTGGTTTTAAAAATAAATTTTTTCCATGATCATCACTTTACATCGCTAAGTTCCAAAAGGGGAATTAAACCAGGTGGCACAATTTCCAGCATTAGGAGTTGTAGCACAGAGAAATTACTGAAGTAAAGTAGAAAGCAATGCCTACCAGCACAGCTGTCTAAAAGCTGAAAATTCAGCATTTGCATGCAGTGTTGTCCACTTAGCACCAATTACAAATGTTGTATTTTTTCTTCCTTACTAAAGCAAATTAGTATCCTTAATGTTTTCAGAGTACCTATCAACCAGTGATTGTGGCAGAGAAATAGCCTAGCTGCCTAAGGTATGTGAGCAAATGCACAAAAATGTTTAAAAAATCTCATAGCAGTGCAACCTGTGCCAACAGCATGCTGTTATCTCATGTTGTGTCTAATGAAACATAATGTCAGGTCCCTTGTTCTCCTTCCATACCTATTGGGGCAGCTCAGGCTTGAGTGCTGTGTGGGAGAGGCACCTTATCACTCGGTGTGTTTTGCTGAAACCTTCCTCTGTAGCCAGTTCTTTTGCTTCCTTGATATTGTGTGTAACTGCAGTAGCCTTCCTTTTCTGACACCTTGTTCTCTATTGCAGCTGTGAGTTGCCAGTGCTAATGAAAATAATCWGCAGACTCCCTTTATGTGGCCTGTATATCTTATCTCCCACTGTATTCCATCTTGGTAGTTCCCTCCATTCCTGCTGCAGGTCAATGTTTCTTCAGCAAGGAAGGGACAAGCAGCTGTAAAAAGTGCATTGACCTGGGAATGGATGGAGTAGATGCTAATGAAGTCAAGGGAGCCAGCTGTCAGGCTGTGAATTGACCTTTGTGGGCAGTGTGGCTGTGGAAAGACCTTTCTTTAGATTTCTGACGGAGAAACATTTTTGTCAAAGTTACAGTATGGCAGCTGGGGAACTGGCAGCAAGAAGACCTGAAAACATCCTCTCCATCCAAACTTTGAAACAACTAAGACTTGTATAACCAGGAAGCTGGCCTATGATGTGCTAGCTCAGCCTCTCCACAGTCATGCCACTGCAAATCCTGTGGGTAGATGTATGTTTAAAGATACCAGGTGTTTCTGAAAATGCCTCATTGCTAGTGCCAAGCAGAAGAAAAKTGAGTTGGTCCTGCATCCGTGTTTCTTTCCTGCTGCAATGTGACTTGAACAGAGAGGGYCAAACATGGAAAGAGCAGTAAGCAACTATGACAAAGGGGAGCAAGTTTACATCTGCATTAGACAAAGCCAGGCTTGCARGTGAAGTCTGTGTCCCAGTGTGTCCTGCCTGCTCACTTTTCTCACACAATAGCAGAAAATATTAGGCAGCKGTAATAGATATTGTATCAGGATTATTTTACTGGGTTTAAAAGTTTATCCTGCATCCCTAAATTTAGGTCCTACAAACAATTACCAGTAATATGTATAGGCACCTTTTGCACTGAGGGCCATCTGAGCCATACCACATTTCAGATTTCAAACTACCCACTGTGAAATGTGGAGGAGACAAATCACTGCCTGCTTTAAGACCAGATTCTCTGAAGTGCTGCACAGGAAACTTTTCCTTGTTTACTGCATTTGCCTTGACTTCCCTGGAACCAAGATTCGTGCAGTCTTTGCTGTGCAACTTTATTTAGATATCATTGTGCAGGATTCTCTGAGACTTAGCCTTGAGATCATGGCCCTGACATCATTGCCTCTGTCAGAAGGYGATAAGCCTTCTTCTGTTTGCCTCCTGTGTCCTTGTAATCAGCATGTGGGGATGTCTTTATCAAGGCAGCACTGGTATTACCAGCAATTCAAAATACCTTTTGCTGCTGCTGCTTGATGGGAGTTATTCATCYTCCAGTCAGCTCCTGTGGTCATTTGCATATCATTTAACAGCTGTAAACATACCACATCTGCTTTAATGGACAGACAGCAAAAAGAAAAAGAAAAGAAAAAAAACTGCAGTGAATGTAGATAAAATGTTGAGTTGGAACAATTTTGCRGAGCTAACCTTCATGCTAGGATTACTTTATCAAGATTCTTCTCCAGGAGCTGGGTGAGTAGGTTATTGATGTGGATTTAAATCATGCCATCAGTATTTCTTGCACCACAAGAATGGAAGACTTAGAACTGTAACAGATTTGGTGTTCAGCAAAGTCAGACCTGTTTGGGACTCTTTGCAGTTCGATACACAGCTACCAAAGTATTGGTAGCAGTAAAAAGTGAGGTTAGATCAGCGCAGAAATTCACGTGGTTTGCAGCATAGACAGAAACAAACTGATCTGTGCTGTTTTGAAAGCAAGATAAAAACAAGCTCCAGTCAGGCTGAAACAGCTCAAGAAGTTGTTCCTGTCTTTGCTTTGAGCCAGAAGATCCTRTTCAGCACAAATTGTCATCTGCTGCTGACAACCACTGCCAGCACTGAAGTCCCTCTTTCCCTTATGTACGCAAACCCTGTGTCCTCATCCCAACTGTTGGAAAATCAGCTAGGCACCCTGGGTCATAGTGCAGTGTAATTCTGAATTGGCAGGCTTGGGTGGTTAATTCTACATGAACAGGTGGAAGGATTTATTTCCTTTTTAACAAGGAGCTGGCAGTTGGGCTGTAGCTAAGGGAATGTGTTTAGAGCTGAAACAGTGCAAATGTAAGRGATGAGAGGAAGACCACACTTAAGTAATCCAGTTTTAACTAAGATACTAATCCATTCCTTTAGCCTGACTGATGCAGCTGCTAAAGAAAAGTGAGGGTTTGGGCAGATGCTGACTTTTAAATTGCAAAGCTGCTTTGGACATAACTGAGAAACAGAACATTCTGCAGCTGCTGAGAGAGAAACACAGCATGAACCATCCTCCAAGGGCATTCAGCCTGAGAGGAGGAGGGGAGAACAGGAAGTCCCACACAGAAACCAGTGAGTGTTTCTAGCCTGAACCTGCTACYGAGGCATCTGTTCCCCTCCAGTCTTTGTTTGCTTAAGCACCTGAGAGGCCTCATGGAACCACGAGTGCTACCACTTAGCTTCAGCTTGGCAGACACCCAAGGCAAGAGGCTATGGGTGAGGGAAGATTGTATTTGATGACCTTTGGACRGCATGTCAGGAGAGGCCCAGGAAGACAGCTGAGCTGCAGGAATGTTTCATGCCCTGGAATGACAAATAAATCAAGGGTATGGAACAGTCAGCAGCAGAGACCTTTAGGAAAGGGATGTAGAATGTTCTGGCAGAGCCCGTGGGCACACTGGAGAGTGTTCTTGTACACTGTGGCTGCAACAGGCTGGAGGAGCTGCATCCCATGGTGTGCATGTGGTTTGTGAATACTGTAYTGATTCAGCTGCGGGATCAGTGCTGGCCATTCTCTTGCTCTCCTCCCAAATRCASGGTCTAACCATGTATCTTCACAATCTTGTCAGCTCAGAGCTCAGGTCACCTTGAAACACAGGCAATCTGGTTTATGAAAYTTTGTACCACAGCATATTTTAGAGGTCAAAACTAAAGATGAGAGGGAAAGGATTGGGTGATTTTACATAAAAGCAGTACATCAGTGATGAAGCCATTACATGACTTCTGGCTGAAAAACCCCTAGAACTTGAATTCCAGAAGCAGAAGATGTTAATGGGGTACAGGGTGGGCAGACTTTCCTCCAAGGCAGGATGACAGCTCTTACATCATTATCCTAGGATCTACTTATCCTAGGCACAGCCTCCTAGCATGGAAAGGTGATGTTGACTGAAAATCACTTTGCCCAGTACAATTTACTGAAATTCTGCAGACAGCACCACTGAAATTGATCTAGAGCTTTTGCTTGTGTAAGGGGAAGAAGAACACAGATATTTTGCATTCCTGTTCCCATATATATATTCTTGGCAAAAAATTTAAATGTAGATCAAGCTTCATAATGAGGTTATGATAGTTGACCYCCCCTTATTCAGCATTTCTGTTAGACTGGTGACTTCAATAAGCAGTTGCAGTCACAATCAGACATCTTCACACTTTGCAGACAAGACTGCTAAACAAGTGCTTATTTTCCAAAGTGCCAGACGAGGGCRGGTAATATGACTTGTCTTCCAGGAAAGTTTCTGTATGAAACATTAATGTTAATATTTGGATGTTTTCTTATCTCAGTAAGAGGCCAGATTTCCCACTGAAGTCAGGAGATGGCACA